CCGCACCGCGGTTTAGCATTTATTTATTTATTCTAGCTCGGTTTTTTTTGTTATTTGTTATGAACAGTCCAAAGGGTAGTGAGTAGAGATCAAATGTGAAAAGAATGCAATTCATCAGCTGGAAATTGCAGACTCGCAGACACCCAAGGGTGAAGCGTGAACTCCCGGGTACAAGTTGCCTGGTCAGCGGGGGATCCCTTGACGCGCGGCGGCCTGTTGGCCAGCGCTCGTGGAGCGAACAAGTCAATCAGTCAATTACTTTTGACAGACTTCGATGTAGGATAGATTAGTGTTAGAAGCTCCCATTTGAGTGAGGCTCGCATGCAAGTCGATTGAAAACACTCATAAGCGTTGCCTATAACGAGCTCGAACCTATAAGAATGTAAGATGAGTTGCCTCTAGAAGTAGAACTCGGCGTATACGCATCGAGTTGCTTATGGTAGTTCTATGCTCTTTTTGGGATCTGTAGGAGCATAGGATGAGAACCATCGACACATCCCATCTCCGTACCGGTAAAACGGTCGGATTGTTTAAATAACACCATTACTCGGTAGAGTCAGCCTTTACTCCTACTGGCCTCTACTGAAATTGTACATTGAGTAAGGTATCCTTATCTGCAAGAGAAGCAATTCTGATTCAAAAGCTGCTTGTTTGAGGCTCGATTTAGCTCTCTATATGTGCAGGATCTCAATAAGTGTCTGAATCAGGACAATTGGACAATTTAACGCCGTTGTGTCACTCATGCAACTTTTTGATTGTTGCTGCACACATCCGACATGATGCTATTCCGGGGCCGCTCACGGCTTGCAGCGAATTAAGAGAGATTGGTTGCATGCACAGCTTCGCTCGACACGGCTTATTCAATGATTATCCTTGGCGCTGGTCTGCTCAGCGTATCTTCGTCCGTTCCTTTCTGCCTGAGCTTTTCGGCAAGCCTTCCTGCTATAGCCCCGTAGATGTTTGCACTACCGCTATCTGGTGATGACGCGACGATCGGTCGCCCGTGATCCGACGTCTCTCGGATAGAGATGTGAAGCGGTACCTGCACACAAGCAACGCCTTTCAAGATCAAAGCTTTTTGCGCCTTAGCACATAATTGTTGTCAGGTCGCTCTCGCTTGCCAAAGGAACTCAAATACAGAAATTGGACTTTTGTTCGGTACATCATTCGGATCTATAACACGCTAGCACGGCTGCAGACAAAGCTTTAGTCTTCGATCATCACAGATGGAACCACACAATTCAGAACATGGAGGTTTTGGACATGATAGGGGCTAAACAATTGAGCGAAACGATCAGACAGAACAGGAAAACACCCGGCCGGGAAAGTGCAGGTGAAGAAACCGAGAAAAGACGGAGCCGGACGAGCCGAGAAGAAGCGGTCGCCTGCCGTGCTGACCTCTCCCAAGAACTCCATGCCCATTTCGTCGGCGGTTTTGCGTGCGCCCTCCTCGCCGAACACGTGCTCTCGGTGCCCGCAGTTCGGACACTGGTAGTAGGACATGTTCTCCACCAGGCCCAAAATCTGCGGCCGTTGAAAACGGCTCTTTTAAAGTTCCTAGTTTTGGGTCGACTTTCAGCGAACTAATAAGCCGGTGATGAATCGTGAGGATCTGCACGAGAGCCGTATTCCGTGCTTTGAGAACAAGCAGGAAGGCAGGCGATGACGACGTTTCGTGCACTTCTTAGTCGACCTGGATTCGGACAGAGTCTGCCGGATTCTTGTGATCTGCCGCATCTCAGCTCAAAGGCAGATGCAATCCTCAATTCGTAAAATTTCCGCCACTTCCGAGCGGAAACTGCCCTCTTGATGCACATGAAGTACTGGAACCTTCGTGTCCGTATACGCAGCTAACCCGAACTTGACTTTATTACCTAATGCAAGCCTGAACAGGTGCAGACAAACTTCCTTCGGTCAGTGTTTTTGGCCTTCTCAACATCCACGTCAGCATAACTCCAGCGTCCGTTGTTTAATACATACCTCGTCTGTGTTTTGTATACATACCTTGAGGATTGTGGGGGTCGTGTCTCTGATGAAGCTCTCTTTCAGGATCATTTCACCAACTTATGCATCCGGCGTTCGCAACACTCACCGGCACCTCCACCTTGCGGAACATGTTGGCACCCCGTCGTGCGTCGATGAGGGCGATGTCCTGCGGAGTTGACACTATAACGGCGCCTGCAGGGCGATGTTTGGCAGAAGTTTGTTGAGTGTTAACGATCTGTTAGCGGGCTTCCTTCTCTGCTAAGGTATGCAGGACATCGCTGAACGTACCGGACAACTGGAATTTATGCATTGAACTCAAGCCCTTCCAAAAATGTTTTGAACCTTCTGACGATGTCCAAAAGGCAAAGGACTGTGAATCCAATTCTTGACCAAAGAAGCGCACGCATCGGGGGGCCGAAGAACGAGGTGACGTCGAGAGGACGTCAGCTGGAACGGCGTGACATATGGGAAGAGTATTCACACAAGCTTCGCTAGTCGTTCAGGTTTTCCACCGCTTTCAGCGACGTTTTGGCAGCTAGACAATCGAAGAATCACCGCTCTGTCCGTCTTAGCACAGAGAAGCAGAGAAGCGTCCTGGAGGGAACAGTCCATTTCTTTTGTGGCTGCGGCGGCAGCGCGGAGCTCGAAAACCTGATTGCATTTGGTCAGCAACAAAGCTGTAAGGCCATACCCCGCTCGTACTTGATAAAAATTCGTCTGACGAGGTCCAGACTCCATACCGAAGTCGAAGGAAGGCCGCGATCAAATGCATTCAAGTCAAAAGGAAACGACATTAAAATACTAAGCACGGCAATAACCCGGTTCTCAAACACGAACAAAAGCGATGAAAGACAAAAGCCAACCTCACCGGCAAGGGGCACCTTTTGACTGATACTAATCTGGGCGTCCCCCGTGCCGGGGGGCATATCGACCACCATGACATCCAGCTTGCCCCAGGCCGTGCCACGTAATAGCTGGTCCAGCGCGCTCATCACCTGGACCGAAATAGGTAGAGTGGCTCATGAGCGCATAGCTTATGGTTGCAACCTTTCGAGGATCGAATTTTGACCAGAGCAAAAAGTTCCAGAAGCGGTTGTTCGAACGATTGCCTCGAGTCGTCCTGTGAGACTGGTCCAGCGTGCTCATGGCCTGCATTAGAACGTGAGAAAGAGTTCAAGCGCCGACTCGTTACTGCAGCTTGTGAGGAATTGGTTTGGTTCGATTGGAAGGGCGAAATCGTGGTGTCAAAAGCCGAGGCTTAGAGTACTACAACGATTTCGAGTCGTCTTGTGATACCTGGTCCGGCGCGCTCGTAAAGATAAATCGTTCTGGGAAGTGTATTATCATAGTCTGGAAACTTTACGAGCGCCCCGTCACAAGGTGCCCACGCAAATACACCAAGACCACGCTGAATGGCAGTATCTTTTGACATTTCTACGATCTTGAGTATGGTCTAGCCTAAACGAAGCAAGGTTTGGCCTAACCCAGGTAGCTTACCATCGGGCCTCGCCAGACGGCGGGCGCGTCATCCTCCATAAGGAAGCCCATGGACATGCACCGGACGCCGTACGCTTCTAGGGGAACCATCTTCTTTTCTGCAGCATAAGCAGGCGGACAATCTATAAGCTATGGATAAAGTGAACCCCTTACACCAGCACCAAAACGTTCACTTCGATTGCTCGTCGAACACCTAAAAGTACAATTCTATCGGGCCTCACCACAGGCAGAAATGACCATTCTGTTCGCCGTCCCCGTCACCCTACATTCTCCTCATATTCGTAGGCCAGGTCGTATCATACAAATCGTCTTCGAGTTGCTCCTGGACTACCCTGGTCTCCCAATCTGATAGGCAGAGCGCTGCGGTTCCTGACTTCTAGACGGCCCTGGATCCAGATGCATCACACAGTGGCGGCAATTCAGCTCGAAAGCTTCTGATTACTGTTGAAACTGGACCCTCTGTGGAGCGGTACTGCTGTACCTTCGTTCACCTGTGGCCGCCCGCTGAGGTTCATGAGGCGGGGAACTGAGGGGCCGTACACATCCGCGTCTAGCAGCCCGACCCGCAGACCGCACCGCTGTGCGAGCGCCACTGCCAGGTTCACTGCATCAAGATTGGGCACGCTTTGGTGGGAAGAGATTTTATGGGGGAGTCAAGCCATCTGATCCAATATTTCAAATCGAGAAATTGAAGTTGCTGGCCTTAAGTTGTGCGGAAATTGGACAAATGAAAGTCTGCTACTTCTGAAAAAGGGGGCAAGAAAGACGCAGGCTGCTGGCCTGCTTCTGGGAGCTTTGTTTTCTGCGATGAGTACGTGGAAAGTCTCCTGGGACTCTGAGCGAGTGACCCGTACTGGCCAAAATTTCTATGAGCTGGCTTATGCCAGTTTATCAATCACGTGAGAACTTTGTACAAATGAAGAAGGTGCACCTTCCTTTCGAGTTGAAGCTGGGATGAAAGGAACCTTCTCCACTTCTGAGGGTCAATCGAACTTTTTAGCTGTGAGAGCCACACTATAATGCGAGAAAACGAAGGGAGATATGTGACACAATTTGAACACACCCTCACCCGCAGTTGTGGACTTCCCGACTCCACCCTTGCCGGACGCCACTGCAATGATGTTCCCACTCTCTCTGAAGTGAAAAGTTTCAAGCTCCAAGTATATTTGAGCTTTTCAGCTTTGAGAGCTTCAGCATCATAGTGAGGGAATGGAAAAGAAGTTTCAAACATATCCAAGTATGCATCCCCAACCTGCAGTTGTGGACTTCCCCACTCCACCCTTGCCGGACGCTACTGCAATGATGTGACCCACCCCGACCACCGCCGGCCTCACAAACTTGGCACGAGCGGCCGCTAAGGATGGCCCCGCAGCGGCGCTCTGGCTTGCTGTGCTCGTTGCGAACGACGCTCCCTGTGGAGAAGTCGTTTTATTTTGCTGCGCTTGGGAATTCGTGTTCAATTATTGTACATGTGAGAAGAGAGCAGCGGTGTGGATACTGGAGGCCATGGGTGCTTGCAGGAGTTGATGTCTTTCAAAGGAGCACCATTGTAAATACTGCATGGTCGCGCCTCAATTCGTTTACCATAGCGCCCTGGGATTTTCCGTGCTGTCTCAACAGAGTTTCCCTACTGATCATGGGTGGTGTAACGTCTCAAATGGCCAACCACATGTACATGAAGAGCTCAAGATACCAACCTTCTCCTAAGTCTTCTTACATTTGTGCGCTTGAAGCCACATTTGGCTTTTCTTAAGCTGGCAATGTAAGCGACGTACAGCATTGCTTAATTGGACTAATCAAGTCGTTCAAGAAGGACTTCTTACCTGTGGGGCCCACAAGTGACTTGCATGTGGGAGAGTCTCGAGGAATGGGCCGGAGGAAGCCAGCTTCAGGTGCAGCGATCGGCCCACCACCCCATCAAAGAGGCGCCACGGACTCTGCTGAAGAAGTGTCATGCTCTTCCGCCAAGTCCTGACTCGGAGCAGAATGGAGGACACGCAACGAGCTCAGAAGCAATGGGACGTATATGACTAAGATAGCTCCCTACAACAATCTCAATCAGGACGTGCTCCTTGAAGAGCAGACTGGGAGGTGGGACACGTGGCGCGCCGCGGTTGGCCCGTTTTATGCCAACAATCACTTGGTTAGTTCAAT